TGCAATTTTTCATTTAATAAAATTTCTCAAACATTCAGGCCAGTAGACGAAAATAAATATACTGTTTAATAAATAAATGTAGCGTCTACTCAATATTCACTAAAAATAACGTTTAAAGTGATAAAAAAATACGTGATGATAATAATATTGTAATAATAAAGACATAATAAAATATACCATTAACATGGGTAAAATATTATGATATTCTATTGGATATAAACTGCATAATTAACATTAATGTAATACAGTAGAATCCCTGACAACCAAACTAAGAAGGCCTTCCAGATATGAGGAATTGGTTACAAAGTCTGGCTATGAGAGGTTATATTTAGATTAAAATAAAAGAACTGAAATCAGGTTTAACATTTATTTTCAATGTTTTATAGTAAGCAAAATAAGCTAATGGTGAGTGAAATATAACTGAATTGATTTTAAGGAAAAAGAAATAAATTATGTAATGTTAATGAAAATTCATTAAATTAAGTATGCCATGTATGCAAAACAAATAATGTAACGAGAATTTTTTAATCGCTGTTGCATAATGATTCTTTCTCTTCTAATGTCATTTTCAACTTTTTTGCATTTCGGTTTGCTTTTGTTCTTGAATTTAAAAAAAAAAAAAGACACTTTTTAACTCTGTGTGCGTTATTGTAATCGTTATAGCTGAATGCTGGCTTTCTTTCCATAAAACTGACACCCTTTTCAATAGCTTTTTCAATTTCGGTCCAGGTTTCATCACAATCATGGTTTTTATTTCCTTGTTCATTGTGACAGTGTGAATGCTGGAGAATAGTTTCTTTGGAAGATTTTATATCCTACAATGTGACTTTCCTATGTAAAAATCAACCATTAGTTAGAATGAACTTCCACCAGCGTCTAGTCTTTTTTTAAAATTTCCATTTCTTTGTGATAACTCCAAAGTTGTTCTTTTCCTCTTATTCCCATCATCTTTTGCATCAATACAAGCCATTAGGGTGAAATAAGCATAAGCAATTATCCAAAGTAAATTTCCTGAAAAACAGAAATTTCAAATCCGTTACATATCAACCAAATAGTTCAAATATACACATCAAAATCATGTCCGGATATGAGGGACTCCGGATATGAGGGATTCCAGATATGAGGGATTCTGCTGTAATTGGAAAATATATTTAAATACTCAAAAGTAAAGACATTTTTAATACTAGAAATGACTTAGCAAAATATGTCCTCATTTTTATGGCTTGGGTAAATTTGCATTAAAATAAAATCACACTGGGCCTAAAGTGGAGGATTTGTTTTCTATTGTTAGTAACTCATAAACTGTTCCCCCTTATTAATCATTGGAAAAAAAATATGTAAAGGCTCATGGGTGAAAACCTTTTTTATAACAGGAAGGACTTAAAATATGTCACCATTTTTTGCAGCTTAGGTAAACTATTATTAATATAAGATTCTACTGGACAAAAATTGGGGGACTGGTTTTCTTTTGTTATTAAGTAATAAACTGACCACCTCAATCCCTAAGAATTACTACATTTCAATATATAATTAGAAAAAAATAATTCTATATATTCAAAGACACATGTAGGCTGGAGCTACACAATCCTCATTTTCCAGCCTTAACAATTATTACAAAATTAGCAAAAGATGTTCAGTCATAATATCTATAGACACAAAGCATCCTGGGCATGATGATAAACTACATCTGGCAACAAGGCCTCTGATCAGGAGGTTTTGAGGAGCATGGAACCACCTCTTAATGCTGTTGTTCCCACGTTCACCATGACCTGGGTTGGTAGCACCTGTTAGGGTCCTAGCTATGAAAAAATAGTGAATTCCCAAACTGGGGTCAAAATACTATGAAAGTATAAAAATAGATTTTTATAGTAAAAATACCAGCAATACACTTAAAAAAAAAAAAAAAAAAAAAATTACCAACAATGCATTTGACTCTCGATAATAACCCTCTTTACAAAAATATGTCAATGAAACCTGTTCTACAAACTGACTTCTTACACAGAATACATATTCCATTTATACGAACCTATCCTAAAAATCTTGTTGGCATTAAATGATCCATTGAGGTTGATATGCTGTAAAACAAAATTAAATAATTCCTTTAGTCTCAAAGATGCTTTCCTGGAGTTTTTAGGGTAGATTTAAGTAAGAAAAACAATGTATCTTGCCTACATCCCTGCTTCCTGGATTTCCATTGTCTGCAATAAATGTTGGAATGCCTTTATTGGGCTGAAGTGATAGCTACTATCTTATATTCTGTGAAATTTCCCTGGCTACATTAATCTGCTATATAACCTGGTCAGTTACAACTCTAGCTTGGCCTCTTTGCAATCCTTAACCATATGTGGTCCTCTGACACCTAAAACACCACTCCTTAGAACATTTACACTCCCCTCTTGATTTCTAATGATTCAAGGCTTGTCGTCCTGTATTCAATCATTTTGTGGCCACTGTTGGAAGGTCTTAGTGTTTGTTCAACGTAGGTATATTGAACAGGAGTAGAGGTTTATCCCTTGTTTCCAGTTTAGGATTTGGTTTTTGGTTCCTCTTAAAGTCTACTTCAACACTATACTTCTAAATTCTCTGCCTAAGGTTTTGAACTTTTATTTAGCATTGATTTACTTTTTTCTTCTCAGTGGAGGTAGATAGGATTGCCTATCATTTGTTTCATACTCCTCCCTAGTCCTCTTGAACAGGAGAGGCTTATCCCTCGTTTTCTGTTTAGGATTGGGTTTCTGATTTCTTCTAAAGTCAACTTCAACTCTATACTTCTAACATCTCCTCGCCTGTCTGTTGAACAGGAGTAGAGGTTTATCCCTTGTTTCCTGTTTAGGATTGTGTTTCCAGTTCCTTCTAAAGTCAACTTCAACTCTATACTTTTAACATTTCTGCTAATAACTCTGAAATTTTATTTACTATTTACTTACTTTTTTCTTTTCTTAATAGTAGATAGTGTGCGTGTGCTTTTTAATAATTTTATTTTTTACTTTAATACACTTTTTAAGAAATTTTTTTTACATATCTTTACCAAAATTTGGTTATCATCTATTGATCATCTCATTTGAATTCCTTCTCTTGTGTGTTTGTTTTAAATTTTTGTTTCTGTTTCATTGTGTGAAAATGTATTTTTTCTAGACTTGTTTGAGAACTGTAATTGATTTGTAATAAAAATTGATCTTTTACATTCCTATCATTGTGACATTAGTCAGCAACCATGACTCATCAGTTGTACTAATTTCTGCATAGTTACCAAAATGATGTGGTAACTAAATAAATTTCTGATTAAATCAGATGAACAATTAGTATTGTATAGGATGTAAGATGCCAACCTGGATTGGATACAGACTAAAGTCAAATTAACTTGAGTTTCTCTTACATCAATTAAAAAAACAAAACAAAAAAAACTAGAATTAAATCATAAACAAATAAAATACTTTTAACAACCATTTCAGAATCAGTTTTGCTTTATAACCAAGATTGGTTGTATTATTTACATTATTTGGACTGTTAACCTTATTTTCATTGCCAAATTCACAACGTTTCAGCCATTGTACACTCCAGCCTTCTTCAGGTGATTGGAATTTCAAACAAAACCTTTTATTTCATCCACTGGGGTAGATTGATCTAGTTTCACCTGCCATGCCTCTTCCAGATGTCTCAGTTATTTCCCTTTAACTCAACTCAAGGACACATGGCTCAGTGGATAAAGACATTGGTTAGATCCAGTGACTAGACCCAAAGAGTTGTGAGTTCAATACCAGGCCACAGCAGTGGTGAACTAAAACTTAGAGTTGAGATAAAGGGAAATAACTGAGACACCCAGAAGAGGCATGGTACGTGGAACTAGAACAATCTACCCCGGTGGACAAAATAAAGAGTTTGGTTCGAAATTCCAATCACCTGAAGGAGGCCAGAGCATACAATGTCCGAAACATTGTAAATATGGCAATGAAAATTTGTTTGGTTTGTTTTGTTTTGTTTTACAGTATATCAACCTCAGTGGGTTATTTAATGCCAACAAGATTTTCATTGCTGGTAATATTTTTTTCCTTCAAAATGTATTGCTGCTATTGAAACCTATTTTTACACTTTCATAGTGTTTTAAACCCAGTTTGGGATTTAGCTATTTGCCCATAGGTGGGACCCTAACAGGTACTACCACCCCAGGTCAGGGTGGACCTGGGAACACCAGCAATTAAGAGGTGGTTCCACACTCTTCAAAACCTCCTGATCAGAGGCCCTGCTGTTGTACGTAGTTTATTGTCTTACACAGGACACAGATGTAGTTTATTGTCATACCCAGGATGGTAAGATGAGGATAATAGTCTGAATAATGTAAATAATGCAAGTAATCATAATACCTCATCTCAGAGATATAGACAGAAACCCAAATTGGACATTATCTTTTATGTGCCATGGAGACAACCATATCACATTTAAACACCAGTTCTTGTATGATCATTAAAAGTTAAACAACACTGAGCCTGAGCAGTACCTAGATGAGTGACTGATTGGAAATACCAGTATCTGCAAGCTTAGATGTGTTGGTAATGAATAATGACTTGGAATTGGCAAGCCAAGTTCTAATTCCAGTTGGGTTCGTTATATTCACTTATATGCAAATACCCTTGCGAAAGGTATCAATCCATTTCTTATTGACAGTTGGTATGCTGGTGACTGTTGATGTATTGGTATCAACTTGGCAACTATTAGTTTTGACCGTCAGTGACCTAGCACAAAAAAATTAGGGGTGAACTTTCTGTAGGTGTGGTCATTCCAAGATTTTTGCTTGTGGTTGGATGTAGTTTAAATTAAGATTTCAAACCAAACCGTGAAAATAAATCCAAGGGACATAACTATTTGTTATTTTGTTTAACCTAAGTTCCTCATCTTTGTATTTTTTTCACAATGTTTCAGACATATTTCCAATCTGTTGTGAAATAAAGAGTAAAAATCTTTAATTACAGAAAGATTGTATCTAAACATTAGCTGGGCTTATGACCATATCACATGTGATCACTGCAGTTAAGCAACATCTAGCCTGGTTAGTACCTAGATGAGTGACCATTTGGGAATACCAGGTGCTGTAAGCTTAAATGTGTTGGTGTAATGGATAATGGCTCAGAACTGTGAATTGGAGAGTCATGTTCCAATTTCAGTTGGGTTTGTTATATTCACTTATATGCAAATAACCTTGAGAAAGTTATGAATCCACTTTTTCTCATTATAGGCATTTTCAAAATGATATTGGCTTGTCTTAACTAAAAGTATCCAATCATCTCACAACACGCTTCCAAATTCTTCCTCTTTTCCCCATTAGTTGCTACTCATCATGGAAGTAATTTTGCTACAACCATCAAACAATTACAAGCACCCATACATACACATAGACTTACTTGTATATATTATTTTTTTTTTATTTTAAACAAGAAAAATGTTTTATTTGTTCATCATTTATATTTGACATTTTTAGTTCTCACAGCTTTTAGTGAGCTAGACGTCATGTGACTAGGGTCATGTATTATTAGTATAAAAAGCAGGTTTATGGCCACATCACGTAACACCGATTTCCCTACAATCACCAAAATTAAGCAATGTCAAGCCTGGTCATTAGCTAGATGATTGACTCAGTTGAGAATTCCAGGTGGTATAAAGGATAATGGCTCAGAATTGTTAATTGGAGTGCCAAGTTCTAATTCTAGTTAGGTTTGTTATATTCACTTACGTGTAAATACCCCTGTGAAAGGTATGAATCCATTTCTTTTCCCTTAAGTATGTGTTAGATAGTAAAACTGGTATCACTAAATCATTATTTCCCCTCACTAAAAAAATTCTTACAATCTAAAAATATTTTCTGGCTTTAAATAACCATACAAAACAAATCGATCAATATATATTATATAAAGCAGTGAACTTTCAAAAAACTTCCCACTTTTCTGTTCCTTGGGATAGTTGCTACCCAGCATGGAAGTAATTTTGCTACAACCATTAAACATTTACAAGCACTCATACACACGCGCCACACATACTCACTTGAATATATTGTTTCTATTTTAAACTCCTTCCATGGTTCCTGCTATCATCTCTAATCTGGATCCCCACAAAGTATTTGGACCTGATTATATCCCTTTAATAGTCTTTAAAAAAGGTTGTTATAATAAGAAGTTTGTAGTAATTTCTGTAGTTAAATGAGGTTCTATTCCTCAGATGCTGCTTGTACAACATTGAATGCTCCTTCTGAAGACACAGTTCTAGAATTTGTGCACGCATCACCAATGTAAAAATTGCCACCCACTTCTCACTACCCTTTTTATCATGCTGAAACCACGGCTGGCTGACCAATCAGCTTTCTTGGCTTAGTCTTCAGTGACACAGTCAAATATCATCCTTCAGTCCAACCAATCAGCATGCAGATTGCTATTGTTTGAACCATGCTATAAAAGCCAACGTTTCAGAATCCTACACTTCTGGAATAATTAAGGGATGGGGAAATTCGTGCCATTTTCAAAGGAACAAAATGTTGCTGCTACGTGTCACATATTGAGGTAAGGAAGTTATTATTTTCCTTTACACCAGATGCAAGACACTCTGACTCATTTTCTTCTACGTAATTGTTCACTACAAAAATGCACCTGAACAGTCTCCTGTTCTCTCTAAACTGTACAATAAATACCTTGCTGCATCTTGCTTTCCTGCTTATTGGAAATCCCCCTCTGTTGTTCTAGTCTTTAAGAACTCAGGTGAACCATTTGACCCTTCCAACTATCAGTCTATTAACCTTCTACCTCTTTTTAGCAAACTACTAAAAACTCTAATCAACTTCGAATCAGTTAAGCATCATGCATCGCGGGGCCTTCTTTCAGACAAGCGATATGACTTTGAATATTGCCACATATGGTCTGGTGTTCCTACTCTATATATTTAGAGATTCTTGATAAAATCAAAAGAATCTGCAATATTATTGATCCCAGCTTCAGTTACTTTCTCACTGCTGTAATGTAGCTCCCCTGTACTTTTCCTATAAATAATTTCATGGTAATTGTTTGGATGAACTCTTCACTATGGACTTTATGAATTTAAGCAAAGTATTATATTGGCAACAAGATCTCATCAATCCACATTTGAATTGGTTAGAGATGTAACTGTAAGTTCTATGTTAACAGTTTCTTCCCTTGCTTGTGGAGCTCTCTTCCAACTGCATACTTTCTAGCTAACTTTGATCTTCAAAAATTTAAATACAATATCAGTCGTTATCTACTGTCTTCCTGATTACTGTTCCATTGTTCTTGCTCATTAATAAAGCTTCTCTTTTCTTCTTATTCTTTTGCACCCATTAACCTCTTGTGTCTTAGTGTCTATATTGCCTTGCAAGGGGTGATACCAATTAAAAAACAAAAACAAGAAAAATGTTTTCTTTGTCAATTATATTTGACATTTTTGGTTGTCACTGCTTTTAGTCAACTAGAAGCAGTGACTGCAACAAACATGTAATCTTCCCTCAATTTAGAAAAGCCAATATTTCAGAAACAACACAAAATATGGTGTTTACAGAAAAGATTCTTTAAATGAAAGAAATTACCAAGTATGGTTTGAAACTTTTATAAAAAGTGACTTCATCTTAACAGATGCACCACAAAGATTGTGCTGTTGAATTTAATGATGACTTTTGTGAGAATTCAGTAGAAATAGTTATGGTTGAAGACTTAGATCCAAAACTGAATTGAAGCTATTCAACAATTTGAAAAGAGGCCTAAACTTAGAAAATTGGTTTCTTGTGCTAAGCCAATCATAAAGCAGAAGCATATATTTACCATTCTCTTGGGGGGAAAAAAAAAGTGATTACTAGAACATGTTTTTTTTTTTTATTTATTTATTTTTGGAGAGATGAAGAAAATGCTACAAATGATGGCTTGGTTGACAGGTGTATATATTAAAGTATAACACAAAATGGGTCTTGATATATGGTAGATTTTTGTGTTTGATGGAATTGTATTAGTGTGACTCACTTTCAGTGGTTATCAGTCAATGTTATAACCCCAAGTTTATATAGAATATTCAATCAATGCTTTAAAGAAAAATTAGGCCAGTCCACAAGTTTCAAAGAAGGATGATCTTTGCCAAGACACTCAGGCTTCATTATTTTCTCTTTGACTTACATGTGATATCCATTTTAGTTGTTGCTGCTGTTGAAAGTCCTCAAGTGATGTGGTTTCTGTTATTTGGTACAGTTCTTTGTAATTCTGTAAGTGGCAGAATATGTAATGTTATTAAAACTGTTCTCCCATTCCTGATTATAAAATATTGGTTATGTTTTTCACAAGTGACCTTCACATTATATAATTTTTTTTTTATTTTGTTTCTTTTCTCAGTCTTTATTAGCTTTTGGTTATTTTTGAAAGTAGTTTGGTTTTCTGACTCTGATGTCTGACATTGTTAATTCAAGTTTTTTTTCCCTGTGCTTTTTTTTGAAAGCTGGAGCCATGGAAGTGTTGGATAATATAATTCAGTCTAATTTTTATATTTAGCTAGAGAATTTTTTTTCTTTTCTGTTCAAAAACAAGGCCAGTTTGATTTGTCATTGCTTACACAGCACTTGGATCATCAACTTTATGAAAAAGATTTTGTTAATCTAAGAATTGTTCAAACTCCTGTGTTAACACAATATTTAGGTTGATTCATTCTACATCCTTCTTTAAAAGGAAATAGTGGAGTCTGTTCTCTACAAAAATAGTGTGTGTGTGCAAGATTTGTTTTCTATTATGGAGGAAGCTGTTTGTTACAGAAATAGCTTGGGAGGGTCTTTCATCTACAAAAATAGAAGCGGGGTTCTTTCCTACAAAAACAGGTGATGAGCAGATGAAAATGGTGGCTAATATCCTGATCAACTTGAACCATTCACTATGGCTCACATTGCTGGGAATGAGTTGAGATGTTGGTATTTAACTGCCAATCACTTTATATATATATATATATATATATATATATATATATATATATATATATCTCTTTCCTTATGTATAATGAATCTGAAGATGACTGTAGAATCAATCAGCCAAAAGATTGTGGTAGCAAATTGACAGAAAGAATAAGTTCAGTAATTTGAAAAACACTTGGAAGAATAATCATTCTCCAACTTAAAGAATCCTTGTACACCTGATAGAATCCATTAGAATAAACTGATTGAGATAAGGTAACAGCATAAGGAATTTCAAGAATGACTTCAGACATGGGAAAAAATCTCAGAACAATAGAAGAGTAATCTGAAAGACACTAGATAATGATTGACATCGCATTTAAATTTTTGAAAATGAAAGTTGACTGGAAAGTGTGAAGCAAGAAGAGTTTCACAAGTGAGAAGTACGAGAAATTCTGTTAGTATAGAATCTAGTCAACTCGACTGTATTTTAATGAGACCTTGTTACCAGTCTAGTACTGCACTTAAATTCTAGGTACCATAGCAAATAGCTCATCTGAACAATTAGCATGAAAGTATTTATAGAAAAGGCACAGGGAGGCCATATGATGGTGGTGGGAAAGTGATTGAAGCTGAGATACCAGATCAGGACCAATAATGTTGCAGGTTCTTTGGATTTTATCAAGAATCTCTAAATATATAGCAGGAGCACCGAACCAAATGTACCAGCAATATTCTAAGCATGGATGAATGGTAGACTTACAGATATGTAAGATAAATTCTGGGAGGAAAAATTATCTAGCACACCATGAGCTATCTTAGAAACTAAAACTTTGTTGTCATAATTTGGGATATTGACAGTTTTAAGGTGGGGTTCTTTTTTTTTTTTGTTGTCTAAACATGCCTTTTTGTTGCAAGGTGTGGTGTGTTTTTATTTATTTGTCTAGATAATTGATTTTTCAGTTCTGGGTGAAGTTATCAAATAACACAATGAATAAGAAAAATCTTTTAAAGGAAAAAGAAAAAAAAAAGAAATTGTCTTCATTTTTCTTCCCTACAATTTCTTTCTTTCTTAAAGGAAACACTGAGAGAGAGATATCTGAGATGCTCCCCCCACTAAAATTTGGGGAATCTAAACAAATTAATCAGTCATCTGTCATATTAAGTTCCATTTCCC